TTGAATCAAATTCTTTTCTAACTTGGCGCTCATAAATGCAGCATTTAAAAGAAAGTAATTTCAACTGAGAAGCATGGGTGAGAAGACCCAGCAGGGTTAAGAAGACTACATTAGAACATCTGTTTTTGCACGATGTTTAATCCTATCCTTGAATTTCTATTTTGCACGATGGTTTAATATATATATATAATATATATATATATTATATATATTATAAATATCCATAAGTCCTGAAGGAATGCTAATTGCATTTCATTTAGTTATTTTGCTGATGAAAGAACAGACAATCATAAAACCTTAAGAAGTATTCTAGAAGAGTATATTAGTCTTTAGAGTAACAATTTTTCCCTTTAGAATAATTTTTTTGCAGATTTTATTTGAATTAGAAACATAATTGTTTTACATGACAATCCCAGTTTCCTCTCCTTCCCTTCCTCCCCTACCAGCCTCCCCCAACTAAAACCCTACCTATCACATAACCTTTCTGCTCCCCCTGGATGGTGAGGCCTTCCATAGGGTGTCATCAGAGTCTATCGTATCTATCCTTTGGTAGAGTAACAATTTATAGAATGAATCACTATATATACAGAAAGGGGATTCATAAAAATGATATACAGGTTACAGTCCAGCTAGTCCAACAATGATGGAAGGTCCAAAAATCCAGCAGTCATTCAGTCCACAAGGCTGGATGTCTCAGCTGGTCTTCAGTATGTGCCTAAATCCCAAAGTAGGCTCTAATGCCAGTAAAGGAATGAAGTTCCCAGTGGGGTGAGAGTAAGCAGCCAAAGAGCAAAGTGTTTCCTTCTTCCATGTCCTTGTATAGACTGCCAGCAGAAGGTGTGGCCCAGATTAAAGGTGGATCTTCCCAACTCAAAGATCCAGATTAGAAGTGGGTCTTCTGGCTTCCAATGATTGAATTAAGAAAAGACCAACTCTTAAAAGCTGTTCTCTGACTCACATGCTCACTAAGGAGTGTGTAAGTATTCGCATTATGCTGGCCTTCCCCTGTCACCTGGCAGAATGCACTCAGGCAGTACCCTGGTCAGCCCAGGGTTCCATGAGTATTAGTCTGCACGAAGGTGCAAATGACCCTTTAAAAGACAGACTCCCACCCACTAATGCTCTCTTTCTGCTATTTCCTTTCTTTTTCCAGCTCTGCTCTCCTCTCTCGTTCTGTCTCCCTCTGTCTCTGTTTCTCTTTACCTCTTTTCTCTTTCCTCCCTTTTCTCCCTCTCTTTTCTAATAAAACTTCTTACTCAAGCTCTGTCTGCCTGTACCCCACCTCGGGTGCAATGGTCCCCCACGCAGGATCCCCTTCCAGCTTTATGCCATCATTTTAAACAAAAGAACAACAATGTGAGCATGCAGGCACACACACACACACACACACACACACACACACAGATTGTACAGCCCTGACTATATCACCGTTTTATAAATTCATGCACTTAATCTCTAGCGATTGCTCCCTGCCTTTAGGAAGCAGATGCTGGGGTGTGGTGTAGCACTACCAAACACTTAGGTTTCCTGTGATCAATTACACTCTGTAGAAAGTCTTTGTACCTAAAGCTTTCTTCTGTGTATCAGATAATACGTTAGGACAGAGTGTCAACAGTGAGATGTCAAAGCCCACTATTTCACAGGGGCCTCTACTCTGTAATGACTTGCTCTCTTTCATGTCTCTCTGTGTTGCTGTGACAGGTCACAGCTGCCTTCCCACCAGAAAATGTCTTGTGACTTCCTGTGTGGCATTTCTTGTACTTGGAGTTGTCGTCACAGTGATTGCTGTTGGGATCACCTTTGGGAAGCCTGCAAGTATGTGTCACCACACACATGTATTTACACTGCGGATGTTCCAAAGTGGGTGAACCTACTGATGGGGAGTGGTTGGCATGTGCTATGTGCCAGCCATCAGCCATTTTGCACATCTCTTGCTGTCCTCAACTCCGGGAATGTGCCTATTATGGGCAGTTATGAAGGACACTCAGGGAGAAAGACAGCTTGCCCTGGATCATGTAACTGTGAAGTAAACAAGAAAGCGTTCTGACTCAGGTCAGCCCAATTCTTAAGTATACACAGGATACGGTCTCTACCTTCAAGGAATTTCCACTGTAAATTGGGCAATGGGTGGCGGAATACCGTATAATTAGAAATTAGAGAGAACTCAGCAAGCACCAGTGATGAAGGGACATGGAAATGAAAGAATTGAAACTGGAACTGAGCCTTGTAGGGACCCTTGAGTTTAGACTGTTTCGGGGGCACAAAGGACACGGACTTTGTCTTGCATCAAACCTGAGGTACGTGAGGAAGAGATATGAAAAATAGTGTTAAGAATCCAGTTCAGGTGTAGGGGGAGGGGCAGGTGGGTCACAAGCTCAAGTCAGCCTGGACTACATAGCAAGATTATCTCAAGACCAACCAACCAACCACAAACAAACAAAAAGTGGCCTCAGTGGATGAGGTCACACTTGCTGCCAAGCCTGATGACCTGTGTCATTCAGCCCCACATGGCAGAAGGAGAAAATCAACTCCTGCAAATGGTTCTTAGAACTCCACGTGAGCACTGTGGCTGGCATGTGCACACATGCACACAAATAAATAAATAAATGTAAAGGAATTAAAAACAAAACCTCATAGTGAGAAATGGGTATTGTCTAAAAAGTAAAACCATTGCAATTATACACATACACACGTGTATAACCTAGCTCCCTCCCCTACCTTGCCTCTGCTGTGATGTGCTTTTCTTCCATTGCTCATTTGGGTAACTCCTAAGGGTAAAAGACCAAACTCAGATGTCCCCAGGATCTCTCTATACTAGACAGTCCCAGCCACTAGACTCTGGATCCATCACTCTGCTTTCCCAACAGCCTAGTTAAGGTCAGTACTGCAGAGACACTGGAGCCAGCCCATGCTGTAGGATGTGGGCAGTGCTTCAGTGAGGAACTTTGCACACAGACCTTCATTAAATCTGTCCTGCCGTGGACATTAGACTTTCTTCAGGGTTTAATGTTCCCCACCTGTGCTTGACTCTGCCCTTCTCCTTCATAGGCATTGCCCCAGGTACTAACTTCCCACCAGAGTCACATCTCATTCCATCCTAGTATCAATTTTTCAGAGGGTCCAAACTGATATCAATTCCTTCAGATGACCAGAACTAAGGATTCTTGTTTCTGAAACCACAATGCCTTTACCAATTGGATCTGTTTTTATCTGCCTCTTAATTGTTCAAGTTGAAAATGCACCATCATCAAGTAAACTCCAAGCCAAGTACCTCAGATATCGCCCCCACTGTGTACCCCTTTGCACAGCTGAAAGGGATTATGGGGGAAGACACAACTATGCTGAGATACAAGTGTCACCAGTGTTGTGGAATATTATTTTAGCTAGGCAAAGATGTCCCACTTGTTTATGCTACTGAACATTACTTTTAACTGTGTAAAAGTGTATTACATATGTTTATGCTGCATTTGTTTAATTATGTAACAAAGTGTTGCATTTGTTTCACTTTGCCTGCCTAAGACACCTGATCAGTCTAATAAAGAGCTGAATGGCCAATAGCTAGGCAGAGAAAAGAAATAAATAGGAGAATTCTAGGCTTGAGAGAATAAAAGGAATAAAGAAAGAGAACAGGGAGAAAAAGAGGGAGAAGCCTGGAACAGAAGCCAGGCAGCTGCTAGAAAGACACAAAGACAGCAGGAAAGTAAGAATGAAAGGTAAAAAGCCCCAAGGCAAAAAGTAGATAAAGAGAAACAGGTTGGTTAAAGTTAAAAGAGCTAGCCAGAAACAAGCCTAAGCTAGGCCTAGCATTCATAACTAATAAGCCTGATACACACCAGTATTTCTATAACTTCCATCAGTTTGGTTTTTTTTCCCATAGCACTTGAGATTTTTAAAAAGACCTTTCCCTTTCAAATAGGTAGATTCCGTTATATTTTAAAATACTATCATGTGGGGGCTGAGGGTGTAGCCCAGTGGTAAAATACTTGCCTAGAATATAGGAAGTCCTAGGTTTTATCCCAGCTCTACAAACTTGTGGAGGCCTGGTGTCACAAACTTGTGATCACAGTACTCCAGAGGTAGAGGCTGGAGGATCATGTTCAATGTCAGTGATTCGAAAATCAATCTGAGCTAAGACATGTTGTCTCATCATTGGTCATCATCATCTTAATCAGAGGCGAGGTTGTAACTTGCTGGTAGATCCCTTTCCCAGTATTCGTAAGAACCTAAGTTCAATCTCCAGGACCTCCAAAACAAAAATCTTAATTTAATTTTACTCACAATACGACCATGAGGTTGACATAGCAAGTTACCTCAGCTAAGAAAAATAATAGACAGGACTGTAATATCCAATCCGTTACAGAGCTCATACCGGGGACCAGGCCTGTTGACCTCTCAGCTGCCTGCCATTACCTCTTGCTGGGACTGAGTCTACACTTGTTTGCCAGATGCCAATGGTTTTGAGGGAAAAGGAAGAACCATCAAGTTAAGAAGGCCTATCTCTGGAGAGTTTTGGAGTATGGGTGGGAAAGAAAGAAGGGGGAAGAAATATTGGGGACAGTGGCACAAAGCAGGTGAGGATACCTGGCATTCTTGCATCTTTCAGATCAGCTGTCTCACCAATGCAGAACAGCTTCACAGCAACCAGGCTTCCTGTGTGAGGACCACACCACTTGCTTGCTGCCCTCTCTGCTTTGTGATGGCAAGATGGACTGTGGAGATGGTGGAGATGAATCTGCCACCTACTGTGGTGAGGTGGACTGAAGTTGGTTGTTTTTAGTCTCTTATTCTTACTCTTTGAGGACCTGCCACCCAGCTCCCAAATAAATACACAGAGGCTTATTGTTTCTTATGAATGCCTGCATTAGCTTGGCTTATTTCTAGCCAGCTTTTCTTAAATTATCCCGTCTAAATTTTGCCTCTGGGCTTTTACCTTCCTCTATCCTATATACCTATTTTTACTTTTTACTACATGACTTGCTGTGTAGCTGGGTGGCTGGCTCCTGCTGTCATTTCTCCTTCTTCTCCCCCCCCCCATCTCTCTCCCCAGATTTCTCCTCCCATTTATTCTTTCTGCCTGACAGCCCTGCCTATTTCTCTCTGCTGCCTAGCTATTGGCCATTCAGCTCTTTATTAAACCAATCAGGTATTTTAGGCAGGCAAAGTAACACAGGGTTTTTAATTAATGTTTGTACTTAAGGAGCTTCAATTTAGAATTATTTTTAAGCAAATGAGTTAAATAAATGTAACCTAAAAGAATGCAACACATCTTTGCATCATTAAACAAATATTCCACAGCATAAATGAACAGAACCATCAAGTTAAGAAGGCCTATGCCACCAGGCAGTGGTGGCACACACCTTTAATCCCAGCACTTGGGAGGCAGAGGCAGGTGGATCTTTGTGAATTTGAGGCCAGGGCAGAGGCAGGTGGATCTCTGTCAATTTGAGGCCAGCCTGGTCTACAGAGTTAGTTCCAGGACAGCCAGGACTGTTACACAGAGAAACCCTGTCTCAGAAATAAGTTTAAACAAAGCAGCTAAAATATGTACATGTAGCTACTATTTAAGAACTATAAGGTAACCCTATGCAGTCTTAAATTCAGCTGTGCTAAGTTTCAGACAGTCAAGCCTACACAGGAAAACCCTGTCTGGGGGGTGGGGAGGAGGGGAGCCTATGCCTGGAGAGTTTTGGAGCATGGGTAGGAAAGAAAAAAAAAGAAGAAATAATGGGGACAGTGGCACAAAGCAGGTGATATCCAGCATTCTTGCAGCTTTCAGATTGGATGTATCACCAATTCAGAACAGCCCTATGATGGATTAGGTATACAGTCCTGTCTATTATTTTCTTAAACTAATATTCTACAACAGTAGACAAAGTAAAGAACAATAGCCAGGGCTGGGCAATGTGGCCCATGTGTTTAATCCCAGCACTTGGGAGGCAGAGGCAGGTGGGTCTCTGAGTTCACGGCTAGGTCTACACAGTAAGACCCTGTCTTTAAAGCAGTAGGGTAGTAGTAGTAGTAGTAGTAAGATAAACTTCAGAACTACCATTTAAACATTTTCATGAATAATTTTTCCACTATAAATAATTTATTTATACAATATAGGTCAAATGCCCAACAGTCTCCCACCAAACTTGATTTTCAAGTGTCCCAACCAGAAGACATGGATATATGTGGACAGGGTGTGTGACACAAAGAATGACTGCGGTGACTGCTCAGATGAGTCAGGTAAAAACGAAAATTCCATAGTTGATCTTTTTAATGGGTTCTGGGAGTGGCTGCCCTTACACTTCAATTACACAAATTAGCCCTAACTTAGAAACCTTCTACAGGGGATTTACACACACAGACTAAGAAATTCTATCATTCCCTAGGCCGCAGGGAATGCCAAGGTAGAGAGCAGGCTTAGGCAGGCTGAGGATCCTGGCTTCCATTCCTAGCCCCACCACCAAAAACAAATAGGAAGGAGATAGACAGGGAGAGAAGAAAGGAAGATAGCAGGAGGAAACAAGAGGGGAAGGAGGAAGAGGGAGGGAACTATATTATTTCATTAGTTCATGTCTATTTCAAGTAAACAAGTTCTCTAGCAAGGAAGTTAACAAAGTCAGTTTTGCAAGAAAATGTTAACAGAAAGCTCTCATCTATTATCAACTTTCACTTGGGTTTCTCTGGCAATTCTTCAAGATATACAAAAGTTTTGTTCAGTGTTTTAGCTCTCAAAAAACTAGTTGTTAACCTGGTCATTTCTTCCTCACTTTCATCCTTGTCCCCCATCATGTTCCCAACATGGCTTAACACTGAGCTGCAAAGATCCCTACTTCACAAGCAGGCAAGACCCCAACCCGTAGGCAGTCCAGTGCATGATGGCTCCAACTGATACACTGGAAGCGGCATCAGAAACACACAGATCTGCTCTTTGCCAGTGGTGGAGGGTAGAATGAAAACACATTTTTGTAGTTAGGAAGGAGAGGGATGGATGTGTGAAGAGGGCCTTTGCTTCTGGCTAGCTGACAATTAGCAAAGGCCTGTTCCCCTGCTGACTGATTGCCCCAACTCAAGGGGACCCTTCCCTGTTTACTCACCATGTCAGTATGTTTAGTTTGGGCTGATGGGTAGAGGCAGTTTCGTCTCTGGCTTTTCAAACTATGTGTAGAATCTTCAGCAATCATCTGCTGATTTTCCCATGATAGTTTCACTGATTTTTTTTTTTAAACCTAAAGGGTTATTTCTTGTCCAATAGTATTTTTTTCCCAGTTGACATTTTAAGTTATGCTTTTAAAAATAAATACAATTGTCTAGTTTCACAGAGCCCAGCGTGCTCAGGCTGGAGATGTGATACTGTTTTCTTCGCTGACTGTGCCTGCATTCCCAGAAGTCGCTGCAGAAACGGCATCCAAGACTGTACTGACTGGAGTGATGAAAACCTGTGTGATTAGGTTTATAATCGAGGTTTCAGAAAAGCTGAAAAATGCTTCTTGCCCTAAGACTTCTCTCAAAGTATCGGCGTGTCTGTCTTCCATATTTACCTTCTTGGAATGTAGGGAAGGAAGAACCTGTGCCTCGTTAACCAAGAAAACTGGCAGAAATCAGATGCAACTTTAGGTCCCTGTTCTAAATTTGTTTGCAAATAACCACAGGGTTATGTGGGAAGCACACACATGTACTCTTGTTTTAACCAGTATGAAAACAGTTACCCTAAGAACTTTTAGATGGAGATGCCTAGTTCACTAGTGTTTAATAGCCCTGGTCCCAGATCTAGCAGAAAATTAAATTTTTAAATGTTTTTAAATTAGTACATAAAGTATTAGAAGTCATTATGGCATTTTTCAAAGTGTGTTTTAAGTAGATAGCCTCCATGCTCTTTTTAACTTCCCCTGTAGTCTCCTTCCCATGTGTCCTTTTTGTCTCCATCTCCTCCTTCCTCAACATCTCTTTACCCTCTCTTGGTCTCTTCTAGCTTTTGAAGGCTTTATGTTAATATTGTGTTCAGGTATATATTACAAGCTAGGATCTGCATATTAGAGAATGTAGTTTTTATCTGAGTTTGGGACCCATTTTCCTGGAATTTTTATCTTTCTTCACAGTGGAATAAAATTCCATTGAACATCTATACCACAATTTTCATTATCCATGTGTGGATGATCATCTAGCCTGGCTCCATTTCCGTGCTACTGTGAACATAGGAGTAATGAACCTGAATGTACAAGTATCTTGGTAGGATACACAATTCTGAGTACATATAGCCAGGAATAGTATAGCTGGGTCACATGGTAGTTATTTTGGGGGAAACACCCTTACTGATTTCCATAATGGCTGTCATCATTGGCACTCCCTGCAATATAATTAAGGGTTCCTCTTTCCTACATCCTTGCCAGAATTTGATGTCAGGTTTCTTGAAGGTGGCTGTTCTGACTGGGCCAGGTGCAACCTCTAAGTAGTTCAATTTGCATTTCCCTGAAGGCTAGGGAGAAAACCAGCCTTAACAGTCAAGAAATCATCAGCAGACCAGAACAGTCTCCTTCAACCTTCAAGGTTCTAACGTGATTGTGCTGTCCTTCACCAGTAGTAACCAGAAACTGTAGACAAAGAAAACTGCAAGGATATGGTAGATTGTGCTACTGTTACTAACACTACTCTAAACAACCCTATGACCACCCCAGTGACAGTGCTGTCCTCTGGCTGATGTAGTCTGTGGTATTATGTGCATCACTTCCGAGCCTAAGTTTGGGGAGCCAGCTGGTGATATGCCACCTTTTCTATCACAAGGCTGGCAAGGTTCTAATTAAACGCTGCTCCTGCAATAAAGTAGAACAGAAGCAAACAAGGCATCAAATGTGACGAGCCTTTGGAGCTTTTTTCTGATAATAGAGATTATGAAGGAAAATGTTTCCTTATTAATCCACAGCTACCAACACACTATCACTCAATGAAAAACCAGCAAAAACACTTGCAGAGGCTGAGGAATCAACTCTGGTTAGTGACAGACCCAGCTGGAAACCCTTCCTACAGACCTAAATCACAGCCAGTCAGCAGCCGTCTCTACAAACTGAAGGAATGTCACTGTCACCTTAAGAGTTGACATCCTGAGACAAACTGAGAATGTTTCTAGCTCCCACTCACAACACTCCAGCTCAGCCATTCCATCTGTTTGGATTCTAAAAATGAGTTTTCCCAGGTAACAGATTTATCCTATTTCCTATGCCCCATCATTGGGCAAGCTGTGTTTACAACCAACCTGACCCACAAATGTCTGGGTGACTAGGATTTTTAGCTGTTGAGACCTCAGGACCCTTGTTACCACTGTAGCAGTCGACCTTGAGGGATGACTGCATAATTCTGCACATTCCTCCCAACTTCACATTTGATACAACTAATTCTGCACAGTAACTCTGGAATGCAGCTGTACAACACCTTAAAAGGGGAGCTTCGAACCACAGTATATATTTAAAACCATCTCAATAGTAAAGGCAATTTTCAGCTCTCTTGTTGTTCGATGAAGGGACAAGGGGACTTGCTGGGAATGGTGGAACTGGTCAATATTCTGATTATGGCAGTCTCAGTGTTAACATAGAGCCTTGGAAATTAGTAACTGAAAGTATCAGGTTATACATACAAAATGGAGATACTAATTCATACCTCATAAAGTTAGAATAAAACGTTAAAACTGAGATACAGGGCTGTAGAGATGGCTCAGCAGTTAAGAGCACTGTCTGCTCTTCCAGAGAACACAGGTTCCATTCCCAGCACATACATACATACATTCTTACTTATATACATGGAGGCTCACAACCATCTATAAGCCCAGTTCCAGGGATCCTATACTCTCTTCTGACCTCTGCATAAAGATACCATACACTTACAATAAATAATACCAAGAGAAAAAGCATCCTGGTTTACCCACAGAATACTGTTCTCATAGCACATCCACCACACAGAGCATGAAAGCCCCTAGGGTTGGTGGAGAAGCAAACTCTCCAATACACTTTCATTTATCACCAAATGCTATCATTACAACCACACACCATGATCAACTTTCTATAAACTGCTTTCTCTGTATAGATGAGTGTCGTCAAACAAGCCATATACTAGGCAAAGAATTTTATTAACCCCTTTCCAAACTTTATTCCCAGGCTTCTTCAGCTTAATTTGCTGCAAAGAATGAATTGTGTTTAAGCAAAAACTGAAAAGAGCTGCAGTGTCCAGGGGGCTTGGGCTTAAAAATATTAAGAGATCTAGATTTTATCAGATCCATAAACAAAAGAATTTTAAAAAGCAGTCATGATATAAAATAGCAGCTCCTGTGACTTCTGCAAGTGTCACCTTCTTCAGAAGTCGCCTCAATTCAATTTGCCTCGTTCTTAGAAGCCTCATCAAAATTCTCCACCAGATCTAGAAAAGAATCAAAACAGACATCCTGAAAAAAATCCAGCTCAAAAAAACGTACAAGTATTTATGGAAACAATCTCAAATTTAAACACTTGCCACCTCCAATGAGACTATTTTGGCACAGTAAGTGTGGTCTGGCATAGCTACTGGAGTGAACATCATGCTTAAAAAAATCTATTTTATCCTCAATTTAAGAACTAAATACAACACACAGATTAATATAACAGGACTAAAGACTACCATGACATGATCTGAGTCTTTCTTGGGTTTCAGGGACATTTGTAGAAACTAGAAAATGTATGCATTTTTAAAAAATTCCTCCACAGGACATAAACTCAATGTAATTTAGTTGGACATGATGTCATTTGTCTGTAATCCCAGCACTGGAGAGGTTGAGTCAGAAGATTCTCAAATTTGAGCTACATATTGAAACAATGTTTCAAGTAAACTAAAAAAGAAAAACATTGCCCGGCGTTGGTGGCCCACGCTTTAATCCCAGGACCCAGGAGGCGGAGGCAGTGGCAGCGGCAGGCGGATCTCTGTGAGTTTGAGGCTAGCCTGGTCTCCAGAGCAAGTGCCAGGAAAAACATTGCTAACCAAGTTACTTAGCTTTAGAATTATCACACCAAGATATTTAAACCTCTCCCATACCATTTCATAAACCAGTGTGTTTCAAAGTAGCATCAGTCCCTATTCCCTTGAATTCTCTGGCTTTAACTTATTACCACCATCACCATCCTGGAACTTTTTCTGTAAAAGATTCATTTTTCTCCCTTGCCAAAGTGATTCTTACCTGGGACCTCATCATCATCATCCTCTCCAGTAGCAAGTGGTGCTTTCCCATCCACAGCTGAGAAAGAAACATGAAAATGTAACCAACCCATTTTCTCTAGATCAATAAACATCAACCACAAGAACATATGAAACACCAAGTCACAACTCACATTTGTGATGGAAGTGACATTGAATTTTCACCTATAGTCCCATTAACAAGAAATTGTGATGGGCACAAACTACTGAAACACAGGTAACAGTAACTCTGAATACATTGAGAACAGTGATTAGGGAGCGCTCAAAGATGAAACCACACACCAAATTATAGTCAGGCTTATTTTGGGAGGCAAATGAGGAAGCCAGCCATTTCCCTAAATATTCTGTGCATGGCACAAAGCCCAATGAATATTGAAATAAAAACTTAAGCCAAATGTGGTGACTCACACCTATCAACCACCGAACTTCCGAATGCAAAGGCAAGACTATAAGCGAACTCCATAACAGTCCAGCCTACATGGGGAGACCTACCTACCTCAAAAGCCAAGAAGGGGAGGAACAAACAAAAAGGACAAATTTAAAGTATCTTTCAACTGTTAACTAACCACTGTTACTCTTTTCCTTCCCCTTTCCTGAAATATTAGGAACTGAATTCAGGGCCATGAACATGCTAGCAAGAACTCTGCCACTGAGCTTCACTAACCAGCCTATTTTTAATAAATACATTTTAAAGACAGTTTAATTTGCCCAGTCTTTCAACACATAAAAGTTCCATCAGTACAAGTTTCAAAAGCTGGTCTCAAAGATCAAGATGACCTAAAACATCTTGATGCTCCTCCCTTAACAATAAAAGCATAAAATGAGTCAGCATCTAACAAACAGCTGAGGAAATAGCAAGCCTTAGAGTAAGCCTCTTGACTTGCTTCTGCATTCATATTCTTAATTTTTAAGCCAAAACATCAAGCATAAAGCTGCCACACCACCTAGGATGACTAATCTTGGTTAATTTGACACCCAGGGGGAAGGACCCTAAATGCCTCCATCAGATCAGCCTAGTGACATGTATGTGCTGCATTTTCTTAATTGATAATTGATGTAGGAGAGACCAGCCCATTGTAGACTAGTGCCATTGGTGGGCAACTTGGCCTGGAATAAGAAAGGCTGTCCAGGGCCAGATGGTCAGTCCTGAAAACATACATGTAAGTAACATTATACACACCAAAGAGGTTATATTTAGGAATGTGTGGGTATACATACACCCATACAATAACAATGAAAAAAGGTTATGAATTTAAAAGAGAACAGGGAAGGTTATATGGTAGGGATGGGGGTGTGTGATTATAATCTCAAAAATAAAAAGCAGTTGATTGTGAGCCTGGGAGTGAGCCAATAAGCAACAGTCCTCCATGGGTTGCCTCAAGCTCCCGCCTTGGCTTCCTTTGATGAACTGTAAAGTGCAATGAAATAAACCCCTTTCTCCTCAAGTTGCTTTTGGTCATGGCATTTATTACAACAGAAATCAAAGAGAACACAGCTTGTTGTACATGTAGGTTACAGTCTGCCCTAAACAAAAACCTTACCAAACTATAATCTGAAACACCAAAATATTTATTGGTACCTATCATCTATGTCAACAATAATTTATTATGTGTTTATAAGTAATTAAGAGCCCCAAAAGATACCAAACACAAAGACTGTAAATAAGGATATGGAATGTTAGTATTATTCTTGTTTTTTTCTTAGACAGCATGTTTGTAGCCCAAGCTGGTCTGGAATCCTGTAATTCTCCCTAGTTCAGCCTCTCAAAGTGTTACCAAGTGTGAGTCACCATGCCCAGCCTGTCAATTCTAATCCTAAAACCTAGCAAAACTAAGATTAACAGTTTTTTTTCATTTCTAACTAAAGTTAAGTTTTTAGTGATTCAAACCTAGCAAGTTGGTAAGAAACAAGCATCCACTTAATCAAGTATAATGATCACAGAAAAAGTAGACACATCACTGTAAACGAGAATGAGTAAAAGCAGTTAGTTAAAGGGTGTATTATTCTTTTAGGCATTCTGTGTCTAAGGACATTCTTAGCAATTCTGAGCCTGAGATGACACAAATGTAACTCTGAGGATACTCACATTGTTTGGGCAAAGCTTCAGCCAGTCTCCTTAAACTAGTCAGACTGTCTGCCCCAAGCTGGTTTAGGATGCTGGGAAGCATTTCTGTCAGCTGCTTTGTCTCAGCGTGGCCTGTAATGGTGAAAGTGTTTGCTGCCAGAGACGCCTGAACTTTAGGGTTGTTAAAATGGATCACTGTTCCTTGGTTTGTAAACATGTTCACCTATAAGAAAATACAATTATTATAAGTAATGCTCACCAACAATTCCTTTAAAATCAGTTTTTATAAAACTATAATATGTCTGAGTTTTCCCCCTTTGAAGCACAGGTGACAATTTCCCAGGAATGTGTAATCAAATAACTGTCTGGCTTCCCAATCTCTCAGATACTCAAACATCTAATGGAGCACCGACTACATTGCTAACAGCAGAGGCAAGACAATTACTTAATATATGATCATTAAAACTTTCCAGTTTCGTGGTGCTTTGACACTCACCTCTTCAATACCAGAGATGTTGTTCACCCCTAACTTCTTTAAGGAGAACTGCAGTTTTTTATCATCTGCTGTGGCTGTTCTGTGAACCACCTTCTTCTTTCTGCGAGCAGTTCCCTAGTGGGAGAAGGGCAGACAGCACATTTACACGACAGCAGTCTATCCTAATTCTTTTCAGACCTTTGCTTCTGTACAAGTTAGTTAACCAGATAGAACATGGTGGTGACCTTGTTCCTTTAGTCCCAGCACTCAAGAGGAGGCAGAGGCAGGTGGATCTCTGTTTTGAGGCCAGCCTGGTCCACATAGTGAGTCCCAGGCAAACCACGAGGCTAGGTTTCAAATAAAAACAAAACAAAAACCCATAGAATTTTAAAAATAGTCACCAAACCCACAAACCATGAAGTTAAAAAGGCAGGTTACAACGGAAGTATGGGAAAGGAATGCTTATGAATTTTTTATAAGCACTAGTTTGTAAGATGCAAATGGTCCCTTACAAGTCCTAACATTTAAGTCTTTTAAAAAGTGATCAGAGATGGCATGTGACAACTTAAATGAAACTTCATTTATACCTTTTGTTTTCAAAGAAAAACCAAGGCCTTAATTAATACTCACAGAGGGAATAGTAAACAAAGTAACCAATGAATCTGTATACAGATGTCTACTACAGCAGAGAGGACAAAGGTAAAGTTCTTAACCAACCCAGATCTTTCTAACTGAAGATCCTCTTTGATGTTCCTTAAAGGAGAACAGGCTAGTGCCCTAGTGCATCTCTGAATGCTATCCCTCTTCCCTGTACTGTTCAGCTTCCTCCCTAGAGTACATTTCTTCTTCACCCAACTAGGGACATCCACAAGCATCAGTCTTGCCTAATTTACTTTAAGTTATTCTCACTCATTTTTCAAAATGCTGTTCAAGCTATTATTCCATCTGTCTTCAAAGCCCCAACTCTGCATTAACTGTATGGCATGCTAAGCCACTCCCAAATGTATACTATGAAAAGACTTCTATAACACTAAGTACACCACCACCAGGAAAAGATTAGATTCTACCACCTATAGATTTCACACATTTCACAAATGTAGAATTCACTACACTTACTCAAAGAATTGTCAGCATTTCCATTAGACACCGAAAGGGGTCTTGAATAATATTCACCTGAAAGCATGCAAATCTAATACTGCTTTTCTCACTCACACTATAAGGTTTCTTAAAAGGTACAGAAAGATGTCCCCATATTATGGCTGGAAACATTTTGTCTTAGCTTAACAAATACTAGATACAAAGTCTACTGTATAAGATTAACTTGGAAGGCTTTCGTTTTCCCTTAGAGATGCCCCTCAAAGTTAAAAGCCATTAGAGGAACCACCTTGCACATCACTCCAAAAACTATACTGAAAGAAACTGTCACCACTGCCCCAACCCCAGCACCCGAAGGGTACTATGTTAAGATAAAGGATAAGAAACATCCAATGTTAGTGTCGTGAATGGAAACTGAAGATTACAATTGTCAGCAAAGGCAAATCAGGTGTGGATGTTAACTGTTGATCAAGTCAGCTAACTAAGCAAAGCTGTGTCTTATTTAAGCTATACGCAAGATCTGGTTATCTCACAGAAAACTCTCCTGAAGGTAAATGTTTAAAGTTAGGACAATTTAATAGGTAATAAACTGGTAGAATGGAAGCTCCACAAGTTTTACCAAGTAAAGACATGCTCTGATTCAACCAGCAGACACCACACCTTGTTCAAAACTTCGGAATGTGCTAACACAATACATGAAACTAAGGAGATCTCCATCAGGAACTGACTTCAGATTAGCAAACCAAACACCAGATTCAATAAAGAATCTTCATTAAGCTTAGTAACCACCAGGAGTAACCAATTAGCCAACACATTTTTTCTCCCACTGTAGGATAATTACAAAGACAGAACAAAAAAAGAAATCTAACACCGACTATTCATGAATTCCAAAAATATCCCGTTGAGTATTTAGTTCAGAAAGCATTGCTGAAAAGGTCTTAATTAACGAAAATAAATGTTCTACTTTCTAAGCATTAAGTAGAACAACAACAAAAAAAACACCCCAAAACATTCGGGGGGGGGAGCGCAATGAAGTACATGCCTAGCATGAACTAGAACCTGTGTCTGATCTCCAGCACAGCTTAAAATAAAGAAAAAATAATTCACCAATTTTGTACAACTCAAGGGTAGAGGTGTACAATGATTTGGCAGAGAGGACCTTCTCCCCCATTAATAAAATTAAATATACTTTCTGTTTATATGTTGTAATCTTAGAAACACGCAAATTATGTTTAAGTGTTATTTTCTTCTCTACTAAATTACTTGCTACCACCCCCCCCAATATACAGCTTCCACGTTTCTTTGTGTGTCTCATCTCTTTTGGATTGGCAGGCTTTTCCAATTTCCCCTGCCAAGCAAAGTGACAAAACAGCGTGAGAAATGCAAAGGGAATTTTAAAAAGTAAAAACAAGAACAACAAACTTACTTTCCCACCGATGCGCACTTGTGCCTGCAGCTTGGCCAGTTTTTCCTGGTTCATGATCGTTTCTTTCATCTGGAAAAGAGAGGAAATCCTCAGCAAAGAACGGTCGGGCTCACTCCAGCATTCCACGCTCGTTATTTCCCAAGACACCCGCAGGAGAACGGCCTCCGCAGGCTGAGGCCTGGATCCCCAAATTCACCCTACGAAACTGCGAAGTCGGCTCCCAGCGAGCCCGGTGAGCACAAGCACTCTCGCCACTCCCCGCCCCCCCTTCCAGGCCCAGACTCGGGCTCACCCCCACAGCATTCCCCCCACCCGCGGCCCTGGCCGGCCTCGGCCTCCCCAGGGCCTGCCCGGCCCGGCCACTCTCCGCAGGCCTCGCGGTACCTGAGGCTCCTGTCCTCGGGTTCCGCCGAGAAGTGGAGGAAGAGACGGCGTCGCCTCGCCCCCGGGGCAGCCGCCCCTGGCTCGCCCTCGCCCCCGAGAGTCAGCCTGAGCGGGAGCGCCTGTCCGTCGCATCGCTTTCCTCTCCTCAGCCCTGTCCCTCCCTGTCTCGCTCCAGCCGGGAACTGCCCGCCCCCGCTCCCGTCCTCCTCCCACGCCGGCGTCCACAGCCTTTTTGTACCTTGTCGGAGTGGAAATGGGGCCGCGCGGGGGACTAGGGTTCGCGCTCAGGGGTCTCGGGCAGACCAGCTGAGATAAGGCGCACACACGCGGGGACGCAAGATGGCAGCTAGAGGGTGGCCGGAAGTGACGCATCGCCACTTCCTCCGGAACTCAGGGGACTCGGCGTCTCTGCGCACGCGCGGCCGGGGCCCCGCGGCGAGGGTGCGGGTTCGGTGGGCTCCCAGTTCTTTCCTTGTGTCCCGCGGCGTGCCGAGAGCAGCACCGGAGAGCTGTGAGGCGCGGACACTGGCCGTCGTCCTGGGAAAGGCTCCCCGTGGAGCTGTGGTTAAGTCGGTCTGCCCTGTGTCTCCCCCCCCAGGACGTCCCGCTCTGTCCAGTAGACAGCAGTGTCTGCTCAATGCCGGGTGTAAATGAAGAAAAGGTATCAAAATCAGGGAAGCTAATTGCTTTCCAGAATTAGGTGGCTTGAGTGATGTTGAAAATCGCAATTCAGAATTTCTAGAAAGCGTGTTCCGAATTCATCCCGGTACCCCACCCCTCAGAGCAATTCCATCCATTCAAGGTTGAAACACAGTAACAGATTTCTAATCCCCTTAACCCTCCACACCACGGCGGTCGCGTACTTAATTTAATCTCTAGTAGGCCAACGGTTGACTTCTCGATATCGATTTTGCGTGGATTTGACCATGAATCATTCACAATGGAGCAAATTTTACGGTTAGTAATTGAATCAGAGACGAACTGGGGCCTGATGTGCTTGGAGAAAAAAGCGCGGCTGTGAGTTAAAGTTTGCTGAACTCCAGTACAAATTGTGTTTTGTAGTGTTTGCGTTTTTTGTTGTGTGGCGTGATGGTTGTTTTGAAAAGTGTAGGTAGTCCTGGCTAGTCAGAAATAGCTATCCTCCAACCTTGGGTTTCCCGTCCGGTGCTGGGATTACAATCCTGCAGCACCATCCCCAAACAAGTTTTAAGACAACCTTAAAAATCATCTTTGTGGGGGGAAAAATATAAATTTTAGTGAAAATTCTGTGTAGTCAGCCTTCTTGCAAATTTAGTTTTGGGATGCTTTTGAATATTCAAAAGTTAAAGTGTGATAGAAATTTGAGAGAAAATAAAATTTATCTGAAAAACCTGTGTAAGTGCATACCCCTCTAGCTAAAATCAGTTTTTTTCTTGGAAAACTTTTTTACAAGAAAGTTTACAACAGTGATGTGTCATTATGAAAATTGGGGGGATAACTAGGTTGCTTTGTAAAGTGATTGTAACAGTTTTTTTGTTTTTTCTTTTTTGTTTTTGAAACAATGTTTCTTTTATCCAGCCGGTAAATTTATCTCCCAGAAAACCGTGCTTGTTGTCTAGGCTATGTAGTTACCCGGCCTAGCCATAAAGATCCAAATAACTGCCAGGCGGTGGTGGCACATGCCTTTAATCCCAATACTCGGGAGGCAGAGGCAGGTGGATCTCAGTGAGTTGGAGGCCAGCCTGGTCTACAAAGTAAGTTCTGGGGCAGTTACGACTGTTATTCAGAGAAACCTTATTTTGAAAAAAGAAAAAAAAAATCCAAAAACTGAGGTGAGGCAACATTATTTAGTGCTACAAGAAAATCTATAAAATATATAACTGTTACATGTGATTTATAAAACTCAGAACTAGTCCTTTATAAAGAAATTTATGTCTATAAAATATTATATCCTTGGTATTATACTGAGGGCATGTGAAACTTTTTTTTGTTTTTTGTTTTTCGAGACAGGGTTTCTCTGTGGCTTTGGAGGCTGTTCTGGTACTAGTTCTTGTAGACCAGGCTGGTCTCTAACTCACAGAGACCCGCCTACCTCTGCCTCCCGAGGGCTGGGATTAAAGGCATGTGACACCCAGCTGAGGGCATGTTAAACTTCTTATCCATGATGTTTTCTAAATTTTTACTTAAAACCCTACATATGCAACTGACACCTGTTTCTTCTTTTATACCAATATTCAAGAAATGTGATTTATTTTATTTTCCCTTGTTCCTACAGTCAAGTGTACACAAACCTTGTCTCAAAACAAACCAACAAAAGAACTGAAGAGCTTTGTTGTTGTTTTTCTCTTCCCCCAGTAGTTACTACTTTGTAGTCTTCCCACATGTTCCCAATGTCTCCAGCAAATGTCAAAGGTTGACTCCCCATCATTTACTGTTCATATAAAACAGTGCAAGAAGTGCTTATTTAGCATTTGAGATGGTCTCTGTCAACAGCATGTGAGAGAAGGGAAACATGTTTGCTCTTCTTGATTTATAGCCTATGTCTAATCAAAACCCAGAAATTGTTTTCATCTCTGACCTGAACTTGAGTTGGCTTCAGCAAAAGCCAGATATTTACTTGACATTATGCTTAATCCTTTTACTAAATTAAAAAAAAATGTGTGTATTGGTGGGTTTCTCCCAAGCCATCTCACAGTCCATGTTCCTGTGCTTTTAGATGCTTGGGAACCACTAAAATTCCCTTACATCCTCCTTCCAGCATCACTGTCTCTGCCAAGTTAATATCTATACACTGGCTCTCCGAGTCTCAGGAAACCTTGCTCAGATACCTTTACCTACACTAGTTTACATCTCTTTGCCACAGAAATCTTGTTTTTCTTGTAGTCACCCCGCCCCCAAATTGTCTGTGTGATGTCAGGTAGTGCTTTAACTTGTATACACAGTATATATATTCCACGGAGAATGTAGCCCTGGGGGCACATGGAGCATTAGTGAGGTGATTGATACAAACCTTGGCCGGATGCAGAGAACAGTCAGTGGCCTTGAAACATGGTTTGTTCTTTTGCCTCCTCATCCAGTTCAGAGAAAAAAATAAATTTTCCATTGGTAGAACCCACAAGGTCTTGGAAGGTAGATCTAACTGGTCAATATTATAAAATACATTTAAGAAAAACTCTCCCAGACCTCCTGACAGCAGTGTAAGTACTGGCTGGCCCAGTGGCCTGACCTCTGTATCTAGATAGGGAAAGGATGACCCAGGAAGGATGGCATCGGTGGACGTTTATGATGGGGCAGAGGAAGATCTTTCTTCATCCCTGCTTGCTGCAAGGAAGTTTCTGAGTGGGTGAAAGCTGTGCACAAATTGTCTGCTAAAACCAAGTATGGGGTTCAATGCAATGAACAAGTCACTTTGGGGCCCATGTTCACACAGGGGCAAGAAAACACAAGAAACGTCTGTTTAACCCCTCAGATGGAGACATTGACCCTACAAGATGACCTGTAACAATCGTCTCACCTCAAACCACAGACCTTCATTGCTGCTGAGGTTGGTAACACATAACTCCACTCTTCTCTTCCAGACAAACCCTAGCTCATCAACAACACTGTGGCAGATTCCTTACTGAGAGGCAGAAACATCTGCTGCCAAGAAGGCAGCTATTGAAGGTGTTCAGGAGCATATGACTGAGTCAGAGTCACAACTGCCAGTTTCACACATCCTCTGTTGGGCCCCACAGGCAAGCACAGCAGGGTTGTCTTCCTGCTTGAAACTCTGGCTCAGACCTTGGCTCTGTTTTATCCAGTGAAAATCCTTCAGTATTCCTATCATGTCCAAAAATCAAGGGGTGGAAGTATGGGCGGCACCATTCACTATTGACAGAGCTTGCTCTGTCCTCCTGCAATGTAATGCTCTCCTGGCTTAGAGGCCTTAGTTCCAGAAAGGGAGGCCGCTTCACCAGAAGAGATAGTAGTGATCTCACTGAGCTGAAAATTCTATGGTCACCTGGACACTCTGGGTTCCTTGTGCCACTGAGTCAACAGAAGAAGGAAGCTGAGGGTTTTTTGTGGGGTACTAACTACCAAAGAGAAGCTGGGCTACTACTACTCCACAGGGAGGAAAGGAAGAGTGATTCTTGAATCCAGAGGTCCCTAATGAAGGTTTAGGTCACTCCATTGGGTAAAGGGCCATACCAGCTGAAGTTGCCAAAGGCAACAGGAATATGGTGTATAGTAGAAAATTATAATTACCAGCTGTAACCACATGGCAAGTTATAGAAATGAGGATATTATATCATTACTATGGCTTCTTTTTATGAAAAAAAAAATGTGTATTTGATTGTACATTACTGTGCTGGCTAGTTTTATGTCAACTTGATACAAGCTAAAGTCATCTAAGAGAAGGGAACCTCTATAAAGAAAATGCCTCCATAAGATTCAGCTGTGGGCAAGCCTGTAAAGTATTTTCTTAAAGTAATGAATGGTGGGGTAGGGCCCAGTCCATTGTGGGTGGTGCCACCCCTGGACTGGTGGTCCTGGGTTCTATAAGAAAAAAGGCTAAGCAAGCTTTGAGGATCAAGCCAGTAAGCAGCACCCCTCCATGGCCTCTGCATCAGCTCCTGTCTCCAGGTTCCTGCCCTCACTGCTTTTGATATAGAACTGTGGATGAAATAAACCCTTTCCTCCCAAAGTCGCTTTGGGCCATGGTGTTTTCATCACAGCAGTGGTAAACCTAAGACTATTACTTACTGGTTCTTTTTCTGGAGGACCCTTGTGAACACAAGGGACACCACATTCTACCAGGAACTGCACAGTAGGAAAGAATCCCCTGGGATCTGAAGGGCTGGAGTAGCTGAGAATAGAACACTTCAGACCAACAGTAAGAATGAAGCATAAAGCAATTAAGAAGGCTAGAAGGGGCCTGGCCCTGCCCCAACCTGTTGTGCCAGACTATGTTAACTCCTCATAGGAGACCTTACCAGTGAGGAAGAGTGCACTGAGTGTGGGCTGGGGGGAAGGTGAGAGGGTTGGGAGGAAGCAGGGGGATGGGAGGGAGAACTGTGGTTGGAATATAAAATGAAATAAAAAAATTTAAAAAATATAAAAAAACCCACAAATTTAAGTGGGACAAACAAAATAAAAGGGGGAAAAAAAGGCTAGAGCAGTGCTTTCTGAAGCCTAGGACTTTAATCACATTTTTGGTGGTTCCCAGTTACATGAGGCATTATGCATCGATACAATTATACTTGAAGGGCTCTAGCAGGCCGGAGTGGCAAACATGGCACCAACAGGTTTTGCCCTTTTCCCCTTTCTCTCCTCCCCCTTGCTGAAAACTGTTAGATTACATTCCTAAAGCTAGCCCCCAGGGTCTAGTTCCTTATTTGGCCACAGATTCATTCCTCAGACTGAACACCAAGGTCCAG